GGGGGGGGGCGGGGGGGGGGGGGTGGGGGGCCAGCAGCAGCTGGAGGGGAATTGAGTGGGAAGGGGCCAGCGCTGGCAGCCAGGAGAGAGTTTGATGGATTACTCTGCAGGCCGAGAGGTTTCTCCCTAATCCCCCTTTGTGTCCCGGCCTGCAGCCCCCTCACTCTCTCTGACAAGCTGCTAAGCAGAAGGCTTCCAGTCCAAGCGAAGAAAAGGCAGCTCAGCAGGGCGAACTCTAAATCCCTGGCCTCCGGGCCCTGGGGGAGGCAGGAGTTGGGGAGCAAGTCTGGGGCGGGGCTGGGGTCTCCCTTCCCACTGCGGCCTTTTTTTTCTTACGATTCCCTTGAGGTGGAGAGAGTCCATTCTGATCCTCAGGTGTTGGGGAGCCCTGTGAGGTCATGCGCCTCAGCTATTTCTGTAAATCACTGTTGCATTTCTCTAGGGTGTGACTGGGGAAAGCAGTGACCCTCGTTGCTTTGGAGATATTTGGGCCCAGAGAAGCAAAGACTGAGTGGGTTGGAAGGCACCAAAGCCGTGTAGTCTAATACTGTGTTCTGCCTCCCCAGCAGCCCCTCCCTAACATGGGATCCGTAAGGGGGGGGCACATTGCCTCACAAGAAGGCTCATTTTCAGGTCTCTTTCTGGGGTGTTCTCAAAGCTCCCTATGGAACTGCCAGGAGGGCAGAGCTCATTTTGGGAGTGCAGTATGCCAGGTTGCATTAGGTCAGGCTGACAGTATTGGTCCCCGGGACTGGGGCAAGAGGGGCTAGGTGACAGGGATGCTGGACTGGTGACTCCCCAGACGCGAGAGCTGCACTCCCCTGTGCCCAACCTAGAGGGCCCTGGAGAGCTCAGCGGGGAGTGGGGTGCTGCGGTCCCCCCTTCCCTGCCATCTCACTGGCCTGGGGCAGGCCAGCCTCCTTGGGGTGTGTGTCTGGAAGGTTGGCCTGGGGTGGCCCCACCCCCTTCCTTGGGGCTGAGTCATTATTCCTCATGCTGAGCCTCTCCTGGTCCTGGTTTCCCCTTCTGCTGGCGGGTGGCTTGAAGGCTAGAGGCGCTGCTTTCCGAGGAGGAGCGTGTGAGAAAGCAGTGGGCCTTTGTGAGTGTGCAGGGAGGACGCGGGGTCGCCGAGCCCAGCGGGGTCAGGGTGGAGGCTGCGGCCGTTTGATGTGCCTGGGTGGGGTGTGGGGACGCTGGCTGCATAAAGAGGCCATAGAATTGCTGTCTGACACTGGCCCAGGGCGGGGGCTGCCCCAGCCCGGGTTCCCTCTGGCCCCTGTCTGTCAGCAGAGGGACTCTGCCCCCCAGCTCCACCTCAGCCGTGCGGGGTGGCAGGAGCCCCTTTGAAAGCCCTCAAAAGCCTCTTTATACGTCCCCCTCTGACCCTCCCTTCCCTTGGGAGCTACCAGGGAGTGGGCTCGGGTCGCCTTTCCTCCGCCTCCTCCACTCTCTCTTTTGAATTTTGGATAAAGTTCAGGCCAAGTTTGTTCCTGTTGCTCAGTTTCGTTTCCCCACACTCCCTGCTCAAGGTCCAGTCTGAAGTGAGGGCATTCCACTTCCAGTCCAGGAAGGTCTCTGAGCCCATGGGCGCTGCCCCCTCTGGGGTTGGACCTGGAGTTTCCTTGGTGTGTGGGGAGCACCTGGAGGAGGAGGATTGACGTCTTCACCCTCTCTTAGACTCAGCTAAGCTGTTCATTCTCCAGGTTCCTCTTCTTGCTGGGGCGGGGTGGAGAGGTCTCCTGGTACCTAGAGCTGGGCAGTTGGAGCCCAGCATCGCTGACCTTGCCCAGGGCCCCTGGCCTGTCTGGGATTTGGTTCTGTTCCCCTTGGGAAGAAAGGATGGCCTGGGGTGGAGCTCCACCCAGCTTCCCAGAGGTCTTGGGTTTCCTCCAGCTTTCTCGCTATCCAGCCATTGGGGCCGGAGAGGAGGGGAGATGTTTGGAACTCGAGAGGGACTTGTCCTAGAAGGCTGCTGTTCAGTGGTCACCCCCTCTACTTCCCTCCTCTTCCTGCCCCCTCCTCACCAGGTGAGCACTGGCTGGCTCTGGTTGATCTTCTGTTTGCCAGACAGAGTGTGTCAGAAGCAGTGAGGCAGGAGGATTTGCATCAGAAGCGTTGCCAAGACTGGAGGGCACAGGAAGAATTAGGCCCTGTCCCCCTGCCTGTATCTCTGCTCTAGAGGACAAAGAAATTGATGGGGAAGGAGAGGCAGAGGGGAGGGCAGGCGCAACACTGATCTGTCACTTGCAAGCTTTGGTGAGAAGGTGCCCTGGGGCAGCTGACAGGGGTGGTACTGACTTCCCTGAACCTGGGAACTGGGGAGCCTGGGCTTTCCCATGTGTGCCCCAGGGAAGAGGGGATGGTTGGAGACTAGAGTTAGTGCTCAGGAGGCCTCTGTAGTTTCCTCACCCTCAGGACTCTAGAATGCAATGAACGGGGGACTGGGGCACTGGGAAGGATAAGAAAGGGGGCTTTCGGAGGGAGAGTATACCTACGGGCTTGGAATTCCCCAGGCACTTCTAGGCTGGAAGAGTGAAGTCTGGGGGGTGGCAAGAATGCCCTGGAACCCCTGGGTAGAGTAGAAATCAGAAGAGGGAGGACGGGCTCTGCAACCTAAGAACAGAAGGGTGTCCCACGGACTTGGAGCCTGCCCACTTCTAGCCAACTCCTTCCAATGAATTCCTTACCTGGCCCAGCCCCCAGTTTCCAGGTAAAGAACCTCTGGGGGGCAGAGAGAGGGGGAAGAGGGAGGCTCCTAGTGAACTCTCAGAGCTGTAGGAGGGTGGAGGACCATTCTTGTCCTCACCCTTTCTTGTCTTATTCCTTTGTGGGCTAAGAAGGATCCTTCTCAGTCCAGGGAGGACTGGGGACTGGGTTAAGGGAGGGGGAAGGAAGATGGGGTGATTAATGGTTGCTGGAGAGCTGCAATTTATTTTAAACAGCGGGGAGCAACCAGGCCTTGGAGTATGGGGGCAGGTTGTGGGTGAGGCTGAGTATGACAAAGTCTCTGTTTGCTCAGGGAGGGCCTGCTCCCTTGAAAACCCAGAGCAGGTGAGTGTCCAGGAATCTTCCAGACCAAGGGTGGGGAGCGGAATGGGCTGGAAGCCTTTGGACCCAGAACCTCTCCCTCCAGGCTGGATAGCACTACCCCAGTGTCTTTGTAGTCTCTGGCTTTCTTTCTGGGGGCGCTGTACAAATTGTGGAAATGCAGACATGGGGAAGGGCTTGAGTTGAACCCACAACAACTCAACTAAGACTGATGTCTCACCCCTTCACCTCCCTCTGGGACTGTGTGGGTCAGTATTTCACACTCCTCCCCATGCCATGGCCTTAAGAGGCCCTGTACCTGTCCCAAAATGTGAGTCTGTGCAGGGCTTTGGGGAGGAGGCTGCTGGTTGTCCAGCTTTATCTCAAGTTCCTTCCTTCCTGGTCTACCAGCTGCAAAGTCCCGTAAGGCAGTTTTGGTGCAGACAGACCTTACCCAGGACTGATGGCCGTCTGACTTCTCTATGGCACAACTCAGAGAGCACCTACAGCATGTTTTGTAACACACAAGGCCCCATGGGGTTTGGTGTTATTTGAAAAGATAAAGGCCGCTGAAATGCCTTTTATTATAAGAGGCTAAGGTTGGCAGAGGGAATGAGTAGGGGCTGGGGGTGCTCTTGTGGGGAGACGAGAGCCAGGCCCTCAGCCCATGTGGTCCTTGCACTGAAGTAGCTGCCCTTCAATAGCATTCATGGGATTGAATCAGGGAGGAGAGGGAAGGCGCTGCAGCCAGGAATGCTGGGAAGTTCAGTCCCCTGCCTCTGTTTTGGGGTGGATGACAGGGCAGGGACCTTTTGCCTTTTCTCACCAAGGTCCTCATCCTCTTGATGACTGACTTGATTTCCCCTCTTTCAGGATAACTTCTCAGCGGAGGAGACTGTGGTGGGTGCTTTGTCAGGAAGCAACCTGTGGTGGCCCCCTGCTTGGGGAACGGGAGGGGGCAGGGTAGACACGCACCCAATGGGATTGGAGCAGCAGCGGAGGAGGCGGGACTAGCAGGAAGGGGTGTGGAGACTTCTCTGCTGAGATGGAGCCATTTAGGGAACAGAGAAGGGCTACCCAGGAAGTGGTATGGCATCCTGCCAGCTCGAGGGTCACTGGCGTCATCATAGGTGCTGCCAGGTAGTGTGGTTGCATGCCCCTGTGAGGCTGGGATCTGGGAGCGGCCCCACTGTCCCATGCCAGTTGGGCAGCCATATGTGGGACCATTTCTTCCCCATGAACATTGAACTCGGGAGAAACTCAAGGAAGTTTTCTGGCCTAGGTTCATCCAAGGGAGCTCTCATTAAGTGGCTTCAGAGACAGGTTAAAACAACCCAACAGCACACAGCCTCTCCACTCTTCCCCTTCATCCTCATCTTTGGGGGTAGGGATTATGGTGCACCATGGCTCACAGCCAGGCAGTGCGGAATAGGAAGTGTTACTCTTAACAAAGAGGGATTGAACAGCCCGGCTTTGGGAGTTAGAGAAAAGCAAACAAACCAGGCCTGGCAGAGGGTCTCCAGGGGCACCTTGACTGCCGGGCCTGGGCAACTAGAAATTCAGTTGGTTTGATTTTTTGTTTTATTTTTTTCTTATACTATCAGACAAGGGCAATTGCAAAGTTATTTCAAAACAGAATAACCAATACCTGTTTGGCTCTGTAGTATGCTGAGGTTTAAAAATCATATTTACCTTATTAATTATGTCAGCCTTAGGCTAATATTAACATGTATTTCCTGACTGGGCGGCAGAGGGTGGCACCTAGGTGACAGGGCCAATCGCTGGCCTGTGAAAGAACAGGATCCAGAGAGTGTCAGGCAAATCCTGGAGACTGACCCCCAAGACTCAACAGTTCGTGTGCTTGTGACTGTCCCGCCCTTTTAGGATCTGAGTGAGGAGCTGTGTTGCCGCTGAGACGCCCCACGGCAGCAGGTGTTGAGCATGGGCTGAGAAGCTGGCCGGGCACCAGAGAACTGGCCGCGATGGGCACCGGGCTGAGTCCTAGGCAGTCAGCAGCAGCAAGGAGGGTCTGCGGCTTCTGGAGTAGAGCTGGGAGGAAGCAGTTCAGGAGCGCTTGAAAGGCTCCGGAGCCCTACCTGCCCGGCCCACCATGTTCCAGAGGCTGTGGGTGAGCCGCCTGCTGCGGCACCGGAAAACCCAGCTCCTGCTGGTTAACCTGTTAACCTTTGGCCTGGAGGTGTGCCTGGCCGCAGGCATCACCTACGTGCCACCCCTGCTGCTGGAAGTGGGGGTAGAAGAGAAGTTCATGACCATGGTGCTGGGTGAGTCACTACATCCTCCTTCCTTCCTGTTCCCAATATGTGCCACCTCGGATATAGGGCAAGAGTGCCCAGGGAGCTGCTCAGAGGGAGGTGGGGTTCCTGCCGTTCACGTGTCTGGTGGGTGGGTAGCTCTGGGCAGAGAGATGGCCCTGGGCTGAGGGGCACACACTAAGAGCAAGAAGAGAGTGGAGGGACATGTCCTAATCACCTTCTAATCCCTGGCCTTGTGCAATGCACGGTGCCTCCTAGGAGACACTGGGGAAGTTACTCCCAAGCTTTGTCTAGCCCTTTCTAATTTTACTTTTTGAGTTGAGGTCTCACTCTGTCACCCAGGCTGGAGTGCAGTGGCATGATCACAGCCTACCACAGCTTCAGCCTTCTGGGCTCAGGCAATCTTCTGCCCCCCAAATAGCTGGGACTACAAGCATGAGTGACCACATCTGGCTAATTTTAAAATTTTTTGTAGAGCCAGGGTCTCGTTGTGTTGCCCAGGCTGGTCTCGAATTCCTGAGCTTCAAGCAGTCTTCCCGCCTCAGCCTCCCAAGTGCTGGGATTACAGGCGTGAGCCACCACGCCCCGCCCAAGTGCTGGGATTACAGGCATGAGCCACCCGTCTTGCCCTTTTGTATCTCTATTATCTCATTTAATCCTTATAACCACTCTTTGAGGTGATCCATTTTGCATAGAAGAAAACGAAGGCTTATGAGAGGTTAGGTGAGCCTCAGCCAAGGCTTGCACAGCTGCTGATCAGTAGAGTTGAGACTGGATCAGGTCTTCCAGCAAGGTCTCACTCTTGCCCCTGGATAGGGTGGGCTCCTGACTTGGCAGATGACTTTTGCAAAAGCCACAGAAGCCAAGTGGTCACCATTGTGTGACAGTTCCCTCCCCAGGAAGAGGGGACCCTGTCAGGCTTGCGGACTCTGGAGTCAGACTGTCCATTGAAACCCTGTGTCTTACATTGCCTAGCTCTGTGCCATTGCCTAAGTATCACTTTTCAGTTGCTTCACGCCTCAGTTTCTCCACGTGAAAATGTGGGCATTTGTAATACATATATTGTGGGGAATAAATTAGAGGGACTTAGCACAGTGGCTGGTACAGAGTTTGCCCTTGACATAATGTTGTTTCTGTCCTTCTTACGACGGAGCTTGGTTCCCCTTCCCCCTCCCACCACTCAGTTGTCCAAGGCGTTGACTCATACTGCTTACCTTTCTTGTAGGCATCGGCCCAGTGCTGGGTCTGGTCTCCGTCCCGCTCCTAGGCTCAGCCAGTGACCACTGGCGTGGGCGCTATGGCCGCCGGCGGCCCTTCATCTGGGCCCTGTCCCTGGGCATCCTGCTGAGCCTCTTTCTCATCCCGAGGGCGGGCTGGCTGGCGGGGCTGCTGTGCCCGGATCCCAGGCCCCTGGAGTTGGCACTGCTGATCCTGGGCGTGGGGCTGCTGGACTTCTGTGGCCAGGTTTGCTTCACTCCACTGGAGGCCCTGCTCTCCGACCTCTTCCGGGACCCGGACCATTGTCGCCAGGCCTACTCCGTCTATGCCTTCATGATCAGCCTTGGGGGCTGCCTGGGCTACCTCCTTCCCGCCATTGACTGGGACGCCAGTGCCCTGGCCCCCTACCTGGGCACCCAGGAGGAGTGCCTCTTCGGCCTGCTCACTCTCATCTTCCTCACCTGCATGGCAGCCACGCTGTTAGTGGCCGAAGAGGCAGCGCTGGGTCCACCGGAGCCCGTGGAAGGACTGTCGGCCCCCTCCGGGCCGCCCTGCTGCTGCCCGTGTCGGGCCCGCCTGGCTTTCCGGAACCTGGGTGCCCTACTTCCCCGGCTGCATCAGCTCTGCTGTCGCATGCCTCGTACCCTGCGCCGGCTCTTTGTGGCCGAACTGTGCAGCTGGATGGCACTCATGACATTCACACTGTTTTACACGGATTTCGTGGGTGAGGGGCTGTACCAGGGTGTGCCGAGAGCTGAGCCAGGTACTGAGGCCCGGAGACACTATGATGAAGGTAAGGCCCCAGCCACGAGGGGAAGGCTGTTGTGGGAGCTGCCCTCCAGAGGACACTGTTGTGGGAGCTGCCCTCCAGAGCCACCGGGGCTGGTGGCTGGACATCCTATGTGGTTCCTCACAGGCAGCTCCGCCTGCCGCTCAGGAGGAAGTCGGGCTGCTCTCAGGGTTTAATCCAAGTCATTGTCTCCCCGTGACAGAAGGAAAGACTGAGTTTACTCAGGGTCCAGAGGGAGTGGAAAAGTCAAGGCTGGATTTCAGGTCCCTCTGGCTCCAGCTGCAGTGTGCCCTCTGCTCCCCAATGGCGTTCTAAATAATCTCACCAGCGCCTTCCAGCTGAGAGGTTCTGGAAGTGTCTAGAAGCCTATGCAGAACGATCTCTGTGTTCCCTCTCATAGTCCTGTCCCCCAAACTGAGGCCGCCAGCAAATGCTTAGACCATCTTCTTCTGCTCTTAGCTAGTGGCTTTGGCCACGTTCTCTGAGGGTCAGTGGAAGAACCCAGTCTCCCCTTGCTACAGATAGAACAGGGAGGGGGCGGGGAGCAGGTCTGGTTCACAGATCTTGTGCAGCAGGTGCCCGTGGCTGCTCGTTCCAAGCTGCCCCCAGACAGTACCATGCCCTTCCCCACCAACCCTGTGTGACAGCCTCTTTCCCCCATCTCCCTCTCCAGGCATTCGGATGGGCAGCCTGGGCCTGTTCCTGCAGTGTGCCATCTCCCTGGTCTTCTCTCTGGTCATGGACAGGCTGGTGCAGCGGTTTGGCACCCGGGCAGTCTATCTGGCTAGTGTGGCAGCTTTTCCGGTGGCCGCTGGTGCCACATGCCTGTCCCATAGCGTGGCCGTGGTGACGGCCTCAGCCGCCCTCACTGGGTTCACCTTCTCAGCCCTGCAGATCCTGCCCTACACGCTGGCCTCCCTCTACCACCGCGAGAAGCAGGTACTCAGGGGCTGGGGTGGTGCCGGGAGGGGATGGTGCTTGGGGAGGCTGCCTAGTTGCGAACCTGATGCCAAGCAGGGGACCTTGGAGAAGGCTTTCTTTTATGGGACCTTGGAGAAGCCTTTCTTTTATGGGACCTTGGAGAAGGCTTTCTTTTATGGAGAGGAAGCCCATCCTAGCCCCAGGGCCAGAGACTTGGGCCGAAGGAGTACAGATTAGATTCTGGGAATGACTTCCTGGGGTCGGGGCTGTGAGGCAATTGTATGGACGATTGCAGGAAATGCAAAACCCTTCAGTGGAATCCTGAAGAGTCAGACTAGGGGAAGTCCTGGAAGCCTTCAACCTAGGCTGGTTGTTCTAGAAAGAGGCAGAGGGCTGGAACAGAGGACCACGAGTAGGAACAGTGCGGCCTCAGCGATGCCTCTCTTTTTTTCAGGGAGAGGCAGTGTGACTCACCTGTGCCTTGCTTTTGTCTCCAAAATGGGGGCGGCTCCTTCCTGCCTCCTCTTTCTGGTTTATCTTCCTTTTCTAATTCTCTTTTCTTTCCCTGCCTCCCTACTTTGCCTTTGCCTCCCCGCTTTACCCCGCCCCCAGGGCGGATATCTGAGCCTGACACCTGGCACCCGACACCGCTCACCTGGGCACTGTGTAAGTTGAGGGGGCTTCCTTCCTGTTTGACTCCCCCTTAACCAGCCCCTCCAGGGGCCCCCTTATGCGGGAAGCCTCAGACCCAGGCAGTGGGGCTACCCTTGTCGCCTCCACTGGCCTCACTGGGCTACAACTCTGGGAACAGAACACTGTCGTGAGGGGCATGGAGTTGGAGTGTCCCAAAGGAGAAGGAGATGCAGTTGTGCCACCTAGAGCTTCCAGACTATGGGAAAGACCTCCCCTGCCCTTGCAGGACCTGAGTGGGGCAGTAGATAAATGCGGAGCTGGGAGGCTAGGGAGCTGAGTTAGCAGCTGCAAGCCAGGAGGGGTCGAGTGGGAGCCTGGTCCCTGAGACCCCCATCGACCTGCTGATAACCTTCAGCCTCTATTCTTCTGCTGCCCCGGGCTTGGAGCGTGGGGCTGGTGTCAGGCTGGGTGCGAGCACATGCTGCTGTGTCAGGGAGTGTGCAGGGGCTGGTCCTCTTCTCCATGTGGAGGGGCATGACTGCCTTTCCGGCTCTAGCCTCACTGGTCTTTTCTGGGGTAGCAGGGAGGGAGAGGTCCTGGGACGCCCGTTTTTTTCTTTTTCTTTTCTTTTTTGTTTTGAGTCAGATACTCATTCTGTTGCCCAGGCTGGAGTGCAGTGGCATGCTCATGACCACTGCAGCCTCGACCTACTGGGGCTCAAGCGATCTTTCTGCTTCAGCCTTCCAAGGAACTGAAATGACAGGCATGCACCACCACACCCGGCTGATTTTTCTTGATTTGTTGTAGAACCGAGATCTCATCAAGTTGCCCAGGCTGGTCTCAAACCCCTGGGCTCAGGCAATCCTCTTGCTTCAGCCTGGGATGACAAATGTGAGCCACCATGCCCCGCTGAAGGTCCATTTCATTTATTTTATTTTATTTTTGTGTTGGAGTCTCACTCCATCACCCAGGCTAGAGTGCAGTGGTATGCTCACGGCCACCCCAGCGTTGACCTGCTGGCCTCCAGCGATCCTTCCACCTTAGCCTTCCAAGTAGCCAGAACTGTAGGTGCACGCTACCATGCCCGGCTAATTTTTTTTTTTAATTGCAGAGACAAGGTCTCACCAAGATGCCTGGACTGGTTTCGAACCCGTGGGCTCAGGCAATCCACTTGTCTCAGCCTCCCGAAGTGCTGGGATTACAGGCTGAGCCACGGAGCCTGGCCTGATGGCTCATTTCTTACAGCAGCTGAAGGCAGACTTGGCCCTGTATGCCGTCTGCCTAGTCCTTTGCCCACTTGTTGAGCTGCGTGATGGGCCGTAGGCTTCCCTGGTGTTGGGTTTGAGCTCTGCCATGGCTCCCAGCTCTCAGGTGCAGCCCACCAAGCTCTTCCATGTCAGACACTGCCTGGCAAGAGAGAGGCAGTGTTGGATAAGACCTGGCCTTGTCCTTAAGTAGGAGGCTCCATCTGGGCCATTGAGGGCAGGGCACGGGGTAAGGGATCCAGACACAGTCACTCTGATCTAAGGCAGACAGTGAGAAGGAGGTGAGAAGGGCTTCAACCTTGGCACAGCTGGGGCTGGGGGAGATGGCAGAACGGCTCTTCCTCCTGCTTGGAGTCTGCTGCATTCTCCTGCCCTGAGACTGCGGCTAGGGACCTCACAGCAGGGCAGCAGCTCCAGCCAAGGCCTGGGAGCCCAGAGGGCAGAGCTTCTGCTATGCAAGGTGACGAGGCTTTCTGGAGGGTGAAGTGCCGGGCGGGCAGGAAGGAAGAGGGTTGGGAGAGCCATCAGGTGTGGGGTTTTAGGCCATCAGGGGCCCTGCCTTTAGATTTCAGTCCTCTTTTATTTTTGTTGAGACAGTGTCTCACTCTGTCACCCAGGCTAGAATGCAGTGGCGCTATCATAGCTTACTGTAACCTTGAACTCCTAGTCTCAAGTGATCCTCTCACCACAGCCTCCCCAATAGTGGGGCTACAGGTGGGAGCCACCACACTCAGCTAATTTCTGAAATTTTTTGCTAGAGATGGGGTCTTGCTTTGTTTTCCAGGCTGAACTTAAATTCCTGGCCTCAGCCACCCTCCTTCCTCAGCCTCCCAAAGTGCTAGGATTACAGGAGGATGTGCACCTGGCCTCAACCCTCTCTTTTACATCTCTCTTCCCACCTATCTTCACCCCTCCTGTGTCTGTCTCTACCTTGGGGCACTGTTCTTTCCTAATCTGCAGCGCTGAGCTTGTGTGCTGCTTAGCTGTACCAGGAGAGGCTAGAGAAGATCTAGGCTTCCGGTTTAACACCTGTCCCCTCCCCACCCCATTCATTACCCTTCTCCCACACCTGAGGAAAGTCCTGATTAGACGCAGACCACATAGAGGCTCTGTTTTCTGACCTCCTGATTTTCATTAAGGCCTGTTGACTGGTTTCTCCCAGCCCCTGGGATGAAGGTGAGAGTCTGTTCTCATCACTGAGGGATCCCAGTACCTGGGTACACACCTGTCCTTGTCTCCTCCACCCCTCCCCTTCAGGTGTTCCTGCCCAAATACCGAGGGGACACTGGCGGTGGTGGCAGTGAGGACAACCTGACGACCAGCTTCCTGCCAGCCCCTAAGTCTGGAGCTCCCTTCCCCAACGGACACATGGGTGCTGGAGGCAGCGGCCTGCTCCCAGCTCCGCCTGCCCTCTGCGGGACCTCTGCCTGTGACGTCTCCATGCGCGTGGTGGTGGGGGAGCCCACTGAGGCCAGGGTCGTTCCGGGCCGGGGCATCTGCCTGGACCTTGCCATCCTGGATAGTGCCTTCCTGCTGTCCCAGGTGGCCCCGTCCCTGTTCATGGGCTCCATCGTCCAGCTCAGCCAGTCTGTCACTGCCTATATGGTGTCTGCTGCGGGCCTGGGTCTGGTCGCCATTTACTTTGCTACACGGGTAGTATTTGACAAGAGTGACTTGGCCAAATACTCAGTGTAGGATACTTCCGACACACTGAGGGGAGGACCTGCCTCGGTGGGTCCCAGCTCCCCTGTCCCACATCCAGTGAGCCCTCTGGGGCTACCAGGACTGGCCTCCAGTTTCTGTGGCTGCCTAAGTGGTGTGGCTCTCTGCTGCCACCCTGTGGTGATGAGGTGTGTAGCTGCACAGCGGGTGGCGAGGAGGGGCGTGCTGGGGCTCCCCTCTCCCTGGTCTCCAAGGGCTGGTTGGTGGCAGCTTTCCAAGAGGATTTCAGTCTGGACTTCTACAGGGAGGCCGGAAGGGCAGGGCATTTGATTAGCTCCATGCACTGGAATGCGGGACTCTGCAGGTGGGTTGCCCAGGCTCAGGGTTGGCAGGCAGCTAGTGTCCTGGTTGAGATGTACTCGGAAGGGATTTGGGGGAATTGAGTAAACTCAGCCACAGGGTGTCTCCAGGCTCCCTTCTCCTGCAGATTCCATGGGTGTAGCTCTTGTGTGGGAGTTTCTAGTGTGAAGTTTTCTTCCACAGGATTTGAAAGGATGAACATTATCTTGGGAGAGTTTTGAGGGGCGAGACACAGGGCCCAAACCCCCTCTCCATCCGCAGCACTGGCTTTCTGCTGATCCCCCCTCCCTTCCATTTCTTACCAAGACATGGCTTGTGGGTCCTTGTGTTGCCATCATAGGGACACAGACGTTTGAATACTTATTTATTTAACAGAGAAGACGGGAATCCATTGCTAGCTTTTCTGTGTTGGGGTCTAGGAGTTGGGTACAGTTGGGATCTCCAACAGTCAGGTCCCCTGAGATGGCTGGTCATTGGGCTGAGCATCGCTGGAGTCCCCTCCTCCTGGGGTCTAGCCCTCCAAAAGGCCCACCCAGGACCTTGGAGACTCTGTTCTCTAAATGCTCTTCCCTAAGGCTGGGGATGCTGAGGGGAAAGGTAGAGGGTGAGGCTTCAGGTCTCAGCAGCTTTCCTAACCTCCGCTTTCCTCTTGGCCCAGCTTGACTGCCCCCTACTTCCTCTACCCCCTCTAAGACTGGGCTGAGGAAGGCACTACCCTCCTCCCAATCCCCTCCTCTCCGCCTGTCCACCCCTCCAACTCCTCCCCCACCCCCAACTTCAGAACACTCTGGCTGGGGCCATTGCAGGACCAGAAGCACAAAGTGAGTTCTTCAAGCCTTTGTTCATCGTGGCCCCCAGGGTACATCGGTGCTTGGAGAACCTCATCCAGAAACTCAGGAGCACCCCTGCCTGAGCTTATCTCTCGGGGGTTTAAGTGCCGTTTGCAATAACGTCGTCTTATTTATTTAGCGGAGTAAATATTTTATACTGTATGTGAGCAATCAGAGTATATTGTTTATGGTGATGAAATTAAAGGCTTCTTATATGTTTAATTGGCATGTGTTTGTCTTTTCTGAGAAGGAAGGACCAGGGTTTTCTCAAATCATTCTCAACTCCCAGTGCGTGGGGGGACCCTAGCTTTGGGCAGCTTCAGTTCCCAGTATCCACCAGCAGATGGAGCCAAAGACCAGCACTCTCTGCCAATCGACAATCGGGTGAGCTGTGCTGCCGCCTCCAGAAGAGGAGAGGGAAGTGCAAAGTGGGGACTCTTCTTTTTTGCTCCGGCGATCCTTCCGCCTCAGCCTTCCGAGTAGCCGGAACTACAGGCACGCGCTCCCACGCCCGGCTAATTTTTGATTTATTGTAGAGATGAGGTCTCGCCAAGTTGTCCAGGCGGGTCTCGAACCCGCAGGCTCAGACAATCCACTCACTTCAGCCTCCCAAAGGCGCGGGATTATAGGCTGAGCCACCGAGGCCGGCTGACATTTTGCTTTTCGAAGGGTCGCAGTGTTGCCCAGGGGATGGACCAAGCACCCACCATCAGCCACAGCAAGCACACAGGGAATGCACTGGGCATGTGCGCGGCAAGGCTCTTGATACCCCAGTGCCTCGTCCACCTTCCTTCCCACCTCCCTCACCCTTCATGCCAGACCCAGGTCGAGATCAGGGTCCTCCCCGCCTTGCCGTCTCCCTAACCCCTCTGGCCTTGACTGGGCTTCCTGGTCCTTAGATTACCAAGTGTTCGGTTGTATGCAAAGACTCATTTTACTTACTCTAAAAAATGTTCTCTAGCTTTGTACTGTGGAAAATTTCAAATATACACGGTAAGCCTGGTCTAATGAACCCAGCTTCAACAATTATTAACGTTCTGCCACTTTTGTTTTATCTATTCACTCCCAGATCCCCCTCACCCCGAGTATTTTTATTTTATTTATCTTTTTATTCTTTGAGTCTGTGTCACCCAGGCTGGAATGCAGTGTCCACTCATGCCCACCGTAGCCCGGATCTGCTGGGCTCAGGCGATCCTCCCACCTCAGCCTTCCAAGTAGCTGGAACTACAGGCATGCACCACCATGCCCAGCTAATTTTTTTGATTTACTATAGAGACAAGGTCTCACCATGTTGCCCAGGCTGGTCTCGAACCTGTGGGCCCAGGCAATCCTCTCGCCTCTGCCTCCCAAAGTGCTAGGATTACAGGTGGAAACCACCATGCCTAGCCCAAGTATTTTTTTTTTTTCGAGTTGGAGTCTCACTCTGTCGCCCAGACTGGAGTGCAGTGGCCGCTTCCGGCCACTGCAGCCTCAACCTGCTGGGCTCCGGCGATCCTTCTGCCTCAGCC